GGGGCATGCAAGTGCCCTGACCTGCAACCTTGGCATTTGGGATGACACTCTAACCTACTGAGTATCCAGCTGGGGCCTGTAAATTATATCTTGTTAAAGCTGTTATTTAAAAGAAAAAAAGCCCTGGCAACTGTGGCTCAGTGGACTTAGTGCCAGCCTGAGAACCAAGGGGTCGCTGGTTTGATTCCTAGTCAGGGCACATGCCTGGGTTGTGGGCTGGGTCCTCAGTGTGGGGTGCATGAGAGGCAACCACACATTGCTGTTTCTCTTCCTCTTTCTCCCTCCCTTCCCCTCTCCAAAAATACATAAAATTTTTAAAAACTTTAAACCCACCCAAGGAATTCCTAAATTAATCCTCTGCCATTGAATTAATACAAGAAACATTTTGGAGGGAGGGGGGCTGGGTCCTTGTGTTATATTAAATCCACTTTTCACACCAGCTGGGCAAATTAGGTTCTAGGCTCCCATATTTTCTGGGAAGACTGTGTTCCTGAAGACTCGTCAACATACAGACTAACCTTGACAATGGAGGGTGTAGATTTCTGTTTACCAGCTCCATGGGTCTGCCTTAGCGGTGAGAGTGTGGACCCAGCCTTTGGTGAGCCTCTCAATCCTGCCCACCCTAAGGTTACAGGATTCTTAAATTAGTGTTCAGGGTCAGGAATTTGCATTATTTCCTTCAAAACAAAAAGTGAGACTCCAAGCATATTTTGGTTGCATTGATTCAATTTGCACTGAAATGACAACCCAATATGATTATCTTTCTTTTATGGAGAGTTTGGCAACTTGTCCAAATCATACAGCAAATAAGTGATGGAACCAAGATTCTAAGTCTGTCCAGATCTGAAGCGGGGGCTTCACCTCCCCCTAGTTCTCCTGTCATTTCAAAGTCTCACCCTCTCTGAGTTTTAAGCAGAAAGCATTGATGGGCTCCAGCTGGGTAGGTGTTGAGACAGCCGCTCTGTAAGAGACATGGTATTCCTTTGCCCAAGTATTTGGTTGGTCTACAGACACACACACAACTATTTGGTCTAGGATGGAATAATTAAAACGTCACATTTGCTGAAAACTTAAGAGTTTAAGCTGATGGTTGCCAGATGAAAGGGGTGTTGGGGGATAGGTGAAGGGGTTAAAAAGCACAAATTGGCAGTCACAGAATAGTGAAGTACAGCACAGGGAATATTGTCAGTGATATTGCAATAACTAGTAATATTATGACAACTCTGCATGGCATCAGGTGAATCCTAAACTATCAAGGGGGATAACTTTGTAAGTTATATAAATGTATAATTACTACTATGCTATATGCCTGAAACAAATGCAATATTGAATATCAACAGTAATTGAAAACTTTTTAAAATTTAAAAGTAAAATATTAGGAATTTTTAAGTTGCTAAAACCTAGAACACTTTGGATTTGAACAACTTTGGGCCTCCATGGAATCATTTGTTCTCATTTGTTTTTCTTTTGTGTACCTGTGTGTACTTGAAGAGGACCAGCCAGGCCACAGAAGCTCTGTGCCCTCACCTCTCAGAACCTGCATCTGCATATATTGAAAGTGGAAAATCGTGTCTTCCTGCCCATCTCACTGAGCCACCTTCAGGTTCAAATGGGATGAAGTAGGGATTGACAAACTATACCCCCGCACCCTGTCTGTTCTGTGTAGCCCAGGAACTAAGATTAGTTTTCACGTTGTTTTCAACGGTTAAAAAAAGATCAGAGAAGAGTACTATTTCATGATGTGAAAATTATCTAAATTTCCATATTTCAGTATCCGTTAATAAGATTTTATTGTAACATGGCCATACCCATTCATTTACCTATTGTCTATGCCTGTTAAAGTGGCAGAGAGGAGTCAAGGGAACAGACTGTGCAACCCACAGCAAAGTCCCAACCACTCCCTAGTTGGACCTTCATATAAAAAAGGCTGAACTGGTACAACACTGTGAAAAACAGTATAGAATTTCCTCAGAAAACTAAAAATGGATCTGCCTTTTGACTCAGCAATTCCACTGCTAAGATTATATCCTAAGAACCCTGAAACACCAATCCAAAAGAACCTATGCACCCCAACGTTCATAGCACAATTCATGATAGCCAAGTGCTGGAAGCATCCTAGGTGTCTGTCCATCAGTAAATGAATGGATCAAAAAACTATGCTACATGTACACAATGGAATTCTATGCAGCAGAAAGAAAGATCTCCTACCCTTTGCAACAGCATGGATGGAACTGGAAAGCATTATGCTGAGTGAAATAAGCCAGGCGGCAAAACACAAATACCGTATGATCTCACCTTTAACAGGAACCTAATCAACAAAACAAACAAGCAAAATATAGCCAAGGACACTGAAATAGAGAACAGGCTAACAATGACCAGAGGGGAGAGGGGAGGGAATTTGAGAGGAAAAGGGTGAAGGGTTTGCAGGAACAGTTATAAAGGACACATGGACAATAACAAGGGGGGGATGGAAATGGGAGGGAGGTAGGGAGGGCTGGTGGGGTGGGCTAGGATGAGTGGAAAAGGCAAGAAACTCTACTTGAATAACAATTTTTAAATTTTGAAAATATATGAAAAAAAATGATGCTGGCCCCTGAATAAAGGATGCTCTCGGTAAAATATCACATGTCATATAAATATCAGCTACTATTTATTCTTTCTCTTTATCAATGTTCCTAGTATACACACCAAACTTTCTTTAACCTCCTATTTTTGAACTATCAGATTCATTTTTTAAAAGATTTTGTTTATTTTTAGAAAGTGGGAAGGAGGGAGAAAGAGAGCAGAACATCAATTCATTGCCTCTTGTAAACACCTGATGGGGACTGACCCTGAAACTCAAGCATGTGCCTCAGCAGGAATTGAACCAGCAACCTTTTGCTTTGCTGGATGACACCCAACCAACTGAGCCACACCAGTCAGAGCAAACTATTAGATTCACTTGTGAGCATGCATTTTCTTCTATTTTTCAAAATGTCCACTCTGTAAATGAAAAAAGAGAAAAAATACTCATGACAAAGGACAGGGATTCTTGATGTGAAAAGAGGATTTTTAGATAGAGACAAACTAAGCTTATAATCATTGACAAACAGTGAACAAACAAAAGGTGTTCAGTGGAGTTAGTAACAAAGAAACCCAAGTTAAATATAAGATGCTTTTCGCCCCACAGGTCTGGGTACCATCTTCATGAAAAGGAGATTTACACTTTTAAAAATATCTCTTTGGGCCCTGACTGGTGTAGCTCGGTGGATTGAGTACAGGCCTGTGAACTAAAATGTCACAGTTTGATTCCCAGTCAGGGCACATGCCTGGGTTGCCGGCCAGTTCCCAGTACAGGGCACATCAGATGCAAGCATACATTGATGTTTCTCTCCCTCTCTCCTTCCCTTCCCCTTTAAAGATAAATAAATAAAATCTTTTAAATAAATAAATAAATTTTATTTCTTTAAAACAAACAAATACATAAATTTAAAATGTATCTCTTTGGCTGCTGGCTAGAGATTCAGCCCTGGGGCAGAGCCCAGTTAACAAGCTTTGGCAATTATCAAGAGAGGTGCAGGTATACCAAGTAAAATATGAAAGTTAGCAAACAGTTCCACCTCATTGCCCAGCACTGCCTTTATCCTCCCCACTCAAACCTCCAGTGTAGTTTTGCAAATTTTCACCAAGATATTTGGGCCCAGAGTAGACTTCTAAGCTGGCTGTTCAAAAGAAGTGTAATATGAGGCACAAATGCAACTTTTAATTTTCTAGGAGTCACATTTTAAAAAGTAAAAAACAGTTCCTCAAAAAATTCAGTTACCACGGGATCCAACAATTCTGCCACTAGGTGTATATCCAAAAGAACTGAAAATTTGTCCACACAATAACTTATACATGGATGTTGACAGTTGCTTTATGCACAATAGCAAAAAAAAGTGGAAGCAACCCAGATGTCCATCAACTCTTGAAAGAATAAACAAAATCTGATCTGTAACTACCAATAGACTACAATTCAGCCATAAGAAGAGATGAAGTACTGGTAGATGCTGCAACATGGATGAACGTTGGAAACATTATGTCGAGTTAAAGAAACCAGTTACAAAGGACACATATTGTATGCTTCCATTTATACAAAGTGTCCAGAACAGGCAGATCCAGACACAAAGTAGATTACTGGTTGCCATATTTGGGAAGAGGGGCAATGGAAAGCAAAGCTAATGAATATGGATTTCTTTTGGGAGTGATGAAAATATTCTGGGATTGTAATGGTGGCAGTGATTGCACAACTGTGTGAATATGTTAAAATCCACCAAATTGTGTATTTTAAAAGGGTAAATAATGGGATTGTGAGTTACATCTCAATTAAAAGTATACATAAAAGGAAACTGGTGATATTAATTTTAACCCAATTATATCCAAAATATCATTTTAAAGGTGTTTGACATAAAAAGTTATTAATGAAACATTTTACATTATTTATACTTACCGAGTCTTCAAAATCTGGTAATTCACACAAATTATCTTTTTAAAAATTAAATACTTTTAAATTTTATTGTTGTTCAAGTAGAGTTTTCTGCCTTTCCCCACTACCCCAGCCAACTCCACACCTCATTCCCGTTTCCAACCCTCCTTGTTTTTGTCCATGTGTCCTTTATAGTTGTTCCTGTAAACCCTTTACCCTTTTCCTCCCATTATCCCTTCCCATCTCCCCTCTGGTTACTGTCAGTTTGTTCTTAATTTCAGTCTTTTGTTATATTTTGCTTACTTGTTTGTTTTGGTCATTAGGTTCCAGTTACACAGATTATTTCAATTTAGATTTTAAGATTTCATCAGAAATATTAGATCTGCATTTATTTATTTATTTATTTATTTGAGAAAACTGGTTTAATTAAGGTGTGGGAATCTGATACGTTCTAAGAGTGAACTCTCATAGCTAGACTGCAGATAGGAAAAGTATACACCACACAGTCCTCCACCTCCCTTTTCTCTCTCCTCTTTTCCTTCCCCTAGCTCCTGACCTGGATGTATTTGTGTTTCCATGTGGGACTGCTGAAGAGAGATGGATAATCGTTGATTTTCCTGGAGTCATGATACCCTAGGTTCTGTCCTGAAGTCTCCTTTTCTTCTGCCTTCAAGCCCTCCTCCCCCACTAGATCTGCATTTAGATTTTATAAAATTTACCTTCGAAAAAGTAGTCAAAATGTTATCAAGAAGTGTTTAAATGGTAAAGTATTTTTAAATTTTCTTTGTCAATAATATTTTTTAAATTTACTTATATATATTTTTAGAGATTGTATTTATTTATTTATTTACTTTAGAGGAGAAGGAAGAAAGAGAGGGAGAGAAACATCAATGTGTGGTTGCCTCTTATGTGCCCCCTACTGGGTACCTGGCCCACAACCCAGGCATGTGCACTATACTGGGGATCAATCATCTGGTGACACTTGGATTTGCAGGCTGGTACTCAGTTCACTGAGATGAGACACACCAGCCAAGGCAATAATATATTTTTTAAAAGACAGACTTCTGGCCAAGATGGAAGTAGGTAGACACACCGTACCTCCTCCCACAACCAAAAGCACAACAACAATTTAAAAACAAAAAACAACCAGAACTGATAGAAAATTAAGCTGTATGGAAGTCTACAACCAAGAAGTTAAAGAAGACACACTCATTCAGACTGGTTGGAGGGGCAAGACGGGCTCTCAGAAAGGACTTGCGGCAAGGTGGCAACTGGCAGACCAAGCACCAGATTTTGGAGTGGGACGTGCAAGGCTGCAACTGGCCACCAAGGCTGCAGCGGCGGCTGGTGGAACCAGTAGTCCCACACTCAAGTGCAGATAAACCAGGAGAAACAATTGGGGAGCGGTACGGACCATGCAACTTAGAGCTCCAGCGCAGAGAAATAAAGCCTCAAACCACTGTTTGAAAACACCTATGGGGGTTGAGGCAGCAGCAGGAGAAACTCCCAGCCTCACAGGAGAGTTCGTTGGAGAGACCCACAGGGTTCTAGAACTTACACAATCCCACCCACCCAGGAATCAGCACTAGAAGGGCCCAGTATGCTTGTGCTGACCTAAGGAGGAACTAACCAAGGCACATCATAATTACATTAGCCAAGATTAAAATGGAGAGAATCCTCGAAGCAGCAAGAGAAAAGGAGATAGTTACCTACAAAGGAGTTTCCATTTGGCTGTCAGCTGGTTTCTCAAAAGAGACCTTGCAGGCAAGAAGGGGCTGGAAAGAGGTATTCCAAGTCATGAAAGGCAGGGACCTACATCCAAGATTGCTCTATCCAGCAAAGCTTTCATTTAGAATGGAAGGGCAGATAAAGTGCTTATCGGGTAAGGTCAAGTTAAAGGAGTTCATCATCACCAAAGCCTTATTATATTAAATGTTAAAGGGACTTATCTAAGAAAAAGAAGATCAAAAACATGAACAGTAAAATGACAGCAAACTCATAGTTACTAATAACCACACCTAAAACAAAAACAAAAGCAAACTAACAATAGAATAGGAACAGAACCACAGAAATGGAGATCACATGGAGGATTAGCAACAGTGGAGTGGTAGGAGGAAAGAGGGGGGAAAGGTACATAGAGAACAAGTAGCATAGATGGTAGGTAGAAAATAGACAGGGGGAGGGTAAGTATAGTATAGGAAATGTATAAGCCAAAGAAGTTATATGTATGGTCCATGGACATGAACTAAAGTGGGGGAATGTGGGTGGGAGGGGGTGTGCAGGGTGGAGGGGAGTGAAGGGGAGGGAAATGGGACAACTGTAATAGCATAATCAATAAAACATATTTTAAAAAATGTAAGACAACACATCCAAGTTGTTCCAAACACACTTAAAAAAAAGTTTTCCAATAAACAGAATCAAACATCCATTTTTAGACTTAAAATTAAATTCAATTAGAAGTTCAGCTCCTTGGTAGTACTATTTATGTTTCAAAAGCTCAATTGCCACATGGGGCTGGCGGCTCCAGTTCAGGGCAGCCCAGATATAGAATATTTCCATCAGCACAGAAAGCTCACTTGGCAGCACTGCCTTTGAGGGTTATTGTGAGGACTAACGAAACTGATGGACCTAAGTGGGTAACTCTATGTCTGTCCAGATGTTAATATAATACTTAATACCGTGTAGTTATTTCATTGCTACATCCTCTAGGTAGCCCAGTCTTCATGGCAGGGAAAGGCCTAAGCATATTAAGCATGACTTTCCCTTCATCTTGCAACTTAGAACTCAGTTCTGCTTCTTATAACACCTCCTAAAGGAGCTCCTCACTCCCACCTTGCACTTCTCCCTCTGCTTGCCCCAGTTCAGGCCTGCATTCCTCATCACCCTCCTGTCCTTTCTCCCTCCACCCTCCCAGGGCAGTGCAAGTTCCTGAAGGGCATCCCCAGGACTTCTCCACCTCTAAGCTATTCCTCCACAAATCAGCCACCGTCATCCTTTCAAAATGCAGTTAAGCAGATTAACTTCCTCTCTTCACCCACGTCTGACCTTGCCAGATCTGGCCCCTCCTGCGAGTCTGCCTTTCCACCCCAGGCAGGATCTGTAAGTGCCTCAGGGCCCTTCCCCACTTGCCTAGGCCTCTTCCCTGCAACAACCTTTGCCCAAGTTGACTCCAGTCACTTTCTTAGTGTCCCCCTGTCTCACTGCATCACTGTACTTTTTACTTCTTCACAGCACTTGCAGTTGGTAACCATTTGCATGTGACTGATTAAAAAAAGCTTTGAGTTAATAGTATTATTCCTACTCCGGCAGATTTTCTTAAATGAGGCAGGGTCCCATCTGCCTCATTGATGCCCTATCCCCACGGCTCGGCACACACAAGTACTTGTATGTGAGCCCTTTTTTTCCAAGGAGACTTTTTAAAGTCTGTCTCCTTTAGAATGCAGCCTCCACAAGGTAAGAGGCTTGCCCTTGCATGGAGAAAAGACTGAAATACCGCCTGAAGTAACAGAGATTCACTTGTAGGTTTCAGGGAGCAAGGATGCCTGAGGCAGCTGTGGGAAGCAGCCTTGGTAACTGCCCCAACTGCCATCTTCCATTCCCCTGCTCCAACCCCACACACCCACACACTGCCTTCTTCCTGCCTCTGGGCGTTGAAAGGATACATTCTCTGAGTAGGCAAAGCAAGCAAGGACATCCTCTGCATGGTGAAATGAGAATAAGTACAGGAGGAATGAATCTGAATATGGTGTTTGAATGTCCACCAGAGTGTCTATTATAAAGGTAGGAGCATAAGGGCATTCAAGAGCCCAAGGAAACCATGGGAAGGCAAGCATCTTGCCGGTCAGTGGAAGTGGAGCATATGTTCAGTCATTTCATGTTAACTGACATGATTTCAGCTCTGGCCTGGTGTGATTAGCAAATTTAAAGATTTTATCTGTGGGGAGACAGGGAGTGTCATGACATTTCTAAATACAATAGTCAATTCAGCAGTCCCCAATCAGGTGATCTGTTCCTACCTTGGTGGAAAACCAATTTTAAAAGATTGCAAAGATGACTTAAGGGATTTTCAAGGGTAGTTATGCCCACACTTCAGCATTGGTACTGATCTTAGAGCTGGGGTTCTGTGTAGAAGCCCTTTAGCCATTATCCTGGTTAGACCTGATAACAACTCACCCTTCTTTGCTCTCCGCCCTGCCTCTAGCCTATGTCCCCACAACCATCTTTCCACTAGTTGCTCAAAGAGCCAATTCCATTTTGGTCAATCCAATCAACTTCCAAAGGAACACGACCAAAGGCATGAGATCACAAAACACAGGCTCAATTGCAAAAGATGAGGTCCAACACTTTTTTCAAATCAAACACTTGCATACAGGAAACCTTCCAGAGGAAAAAACAAACCCGATCTGAGAAGCAAGTTTCCCATAAGGTTTCAACCACAAAATCTACTGTAGTCCCTGAAATCAAATGTTTTCTTATGAACCAGCAATAAAGTTGGAAAATAAGATTGTAAAAAACATACCTTGTGTTTTGCTCTTTTCCTCCCAGGAAAAGCCAGCCAGTAACAGTCTGTTTTGGAAGCTGGTGCTGGGGACGGCAGGGGGAAGCTCCCTCAGACATCTCGGAAGAGACCAGCGTTTGCGCCACGGTCTAGGCTTGACTTTGCGCACAGCCAACGGTTTCCCATCTGGCTTTGACTCCTCCTCGGTGACTTTCATGAAATCAAGTTTTCCGGGGCCTCACAGCAAGCCCTCTACCGACTCAGAGAGACCTACCAAGGAAAAGAAAGGAGTCTGGTCTTCACCTTTACAACCCTCAGCCTTTTATAGGCCCTCTCCCAGCAAGTCCAAAGGAGGGTCTGAAATCCCTGCTTCATTTGCATAATTTAAAGGTTTACTTAAGGTGTGGCTCGGAACAAAACAACCAATGGGAGGACGACTCTAAAGAAATTTTGAAGCCTTGCTTTTTTTTTTTTTTGAAATATAGTGCAAAAACTCCTCTTTAGAACTTTCACTCCTAATATTCACGATGGCACTTTGTTAAGTGGATAAATAGATAGAAAAAGTTGAGCTATGGTCAAAATAAATGTCTGCTATTTAAACACATGCATTTTATCTTATCCTTTCTTCCCTGAAGGCTTAGCTGTTAATTGGATCTTAGTGTTGACTTCTGCCTTTTACCTGGGTGGCTACCAAATCCAGCCCACTTTAGATAATACCCTTATAATTTTTTAATCCTTACCTTAGGATATGTTTTATTGATTTGAGAGAGAGAGAGAGAGAGATACAGCAATGTAAAAGAGAAACATAGATCATTTGGCTAAATTATTTGAAGTATAATCATGCAATGGAATACAGCAGTAAAAAAGAACTGATTATTGAGACACGCAACATGAATGACCCACGAATATGTATGATCCTACTTATATGAAATACAAGAAGAGGCAAAACTATTCAATGGTGCTAGAACTCAGCATCATGGTGACAATTGGATGAGAGTGTGCTGCTTTGGAGGGGGCATGAGGGAACCTTTGGGTGCTGGAAATATTCTATTAGTTGGTACAGATCTGCATGGTGGTTGTGAGATGTGTATGTATGTGAAAACTATCCACCAGTACATTCGAGATTAGTGCACTGTACTGTATATAAGTCCATTCTTGTTGTTCATGGTAGTTGGCTTGGAAGTAATTTTAAACAATATAATCAATAAAAATCTTAAAAATGCAAAAAAAAATGTGGCACTATGTACACCCTGAATAGGACACTTCACAGTTTCAGAGCTGAAAACACAGGCAGATCGTTGGTTACTTTGTTTACAAAAGTAAGCAGCTGGAAATGTGCCTGTGGGGAAAGTCACTTTTGCTGCTCTGCACATGTCTATTAATGACCTTGGTAGCATTGTAAGTATTGACTTGAGGGTGACAAGTCATGATTCCCACACATTCTAGCTCTGAGGCCTTAAGGCCTGGGCAAGGTACCTTCTACATCTTTCAAAACAAAACATACAAAACACTTCTAAAACAATATTTGCAGTTTCTTTTCTTCTTTTTTTTGTGGGTGTATATGTAAAAATGCAGTTTCTTAACAAATGTAAATTTACTGCACAACCAGCAATTCCATTCTTAGGCTTCTACCCAAAAGAAATGAAAATATACAACCCGACAGACTTGTGCTCAAGCACTTGATACGTTGTTCACAACAGCTGAACACTGGAAGCAATAGAATGTCTATCAGCAGGTGAATGAGTAAATAAAACAAAGTCTATCTATACAATAAGATATTATTCAGCCATAAAAAGGAATGAAGTTCTGATACCAGCTACAACATGTTTGAAGCTTGCAAACATGATGCTAAGTGAAAGAAGCCAGATCAAAAGGCTACACGTTGTAAGATTCTATTTCTGTGAAAGGTCCAGACTAAACAAATGCTGGAAGATGGAAAGTGGATTAGTATTTTCCTGGGTCTGGTGGAGTAAAGGGAATTAGCTATAAACAATCAAGGGATCATTTTAGAGCAATAAATTCTAAAATTAGATTATAAAGATGGTCTCCCAACTCTGTAAACTTTCTAAAAATTATTGAATTGTACACTTTGAATGGGTTGATTTTGACATGTAAATTATAACTCAAAAATTAAAAAATAAGACACTTCCAATATTGATGTATAAAATCTGCTGCAGATGTAACTATTAGCTATATGCAGCTACTTGAATAATAACTACTTACAAAAGTACGTTATGGCCTTGACCAGTATGGCTCTGTTGGTCAGGCATTAGCCCAGAAACCCAAAGGGTCATGGGTTCAGTTCCCTCTCAGGGCACATTCCTGGGTTGTGGGTTCAGTCACTGGGCTGGGCGAATATGACAGACAAGTGATCAATGTTTTTCTCCCTCTCTTTCTCTCTCCCTTCCCCTCTCTCTAGTATAAAAAAATCTTTTTTATTTAAAAAATATATTACCAAAGTGTTGCAAGTTCGATTCCTAGTCGGGGCACGTTCCTGGGTTGCGTGTCAGGTCCCCAGATGGGGGTGCATAAGAGTCAACCACACATTGATGTTTCTCTCTCTTTCTTTCTTTCTTTCTCCCTTCCCATCTGTCTAAAAATAAACAAATAAAATGCTTTTTTAAAGAAACAGTTAAAATTAATATTTTTAAAAAGGTAGCTTCAAGGCGTTAGATTTTTTAAAAATTGATTTCTTTGCTACTATTGGTGGGAATGCAGTTTGGTGCAGCCACTGTGGAAAGCAGTCTGATGATACCTCAAAAAATTAAAAATGGATCTGCCTTTAGACCCAGTGATCTTACTTCTGGAAAGAAGCCCTACCCGAAGGAACCCAAAACACTAATTCAAAAGAACATAAGCACCCCTACATTCACTGCAGTGTTATTTACAATCACTGAGATATGGAAGCAGCCCAAGTATCCATCAGTAGATGAGTGGATAAAACAACTGTGGGACATTTACACAAGGGGATACTACTCAGCCGTAAAAAAAAAAAAAAAAGTCCCAAAAATGTACCTTTTGGGACATTATGGATAGATTGGGGAACATTATGCTAAATGAACTAAGCCAGTCAAAGAAAGACAAATACCGTATGAGTTCACACATATGTGGAATCTCATGAACAAACTGAACTAACAAGCAAAATAGAGACAGACTCATAGGTAGAACAGGATGACAGCAAAGCAATGCGGGGAGGTGAGGGGGTGGAAGGAACAAGCAAAAAGGGAAAAGGACTTGTGGGCATGGCCAACAGTGTGGGGAATGTGGGGCTGGGCTGGGAGGGGGTGTGAGAGGACTAAATGGTAATGGAAAAAATAAAATGAAAAATAAATTAAGCTAATGGGAAAGAAACTATTTATTAATTTATTTAGAGAGCATGGAAGGGAGGGAGAAAGGGTAGAAATGTTGATGTGACAGAGAAATATTGACCGGGTTGCTCTTTGTATGTTGCCCTGACTGGGGGCCGAATCCACAACCGAGTCATGTGCCCTGACAAGAATCAGACTTGTGACCCTTTGGTTTGCAGGACGACACCCAACCAATTGAGCCACACTAGCCAGGACAATCTTTTTTTTTTCCCCCCATGGAAGCTGTGGCCTGACAAACTGCAATTCCCTCTAAAATCCCTGACACCTAGCTACCCTAAGGCCCTCTGCTGAAGTAACACCTCTACACCTTTGTTCTGGTCATTTCTACGGCCTGCAGGTGGAATCCTGGTCATTTTTTCTGGGTGTTGCTTAAACTTTTACTCTTTTTGATGTTTTCCCAAGAGACCCTTACTCTCTATACCCTACCCCAACCCCCCCCCAAATAATTGATTATCCCCACTCCTTGCTTTGTTCTAACTACAAAATGATTAAATTCTAGAGGTCTGCTTTACAACATAAAGCCTGCAGTTAAACGTGGTGTTTACACTTAAAAATTTGTTAAGAGAGTAGGTGCTGGCTGAGTAGTCAGTTAGTGGGAGCTTCATCCCAAGATGCACCAATGTTGTGGGTTTGATCCCCAGTCAGGGCACATACAAGAATCAACCAATAAGTGTATCAATAAGCAAAACAACAAAACTCTCTCTCTCTCTCTCCCCCTTCTTCTCTCTCTCTAAATTCAACAAATAATTTTTTTTTTTAATTTAAGGGATAGATCTTCAGTTAAGTGTTCTTGCCAAGAAAGAAAGAAAGAGCACACGAGAAATCTTTGGGGGATGATGAATATGTTTATTGCCTTGATTGTGGCAATGGTATCACAGGTATATATGCATGTCCAAACTCATCAATATGTATGCATTAAGTAGTACCATTTTTGTATAGTAAGTATACAAAAAAAAGATGAAAAAAGCATGTGATAGAAAAATAAATAAATATAACAAAACAGTGTGTTGCACATTATATTAAAAGAAATTTTTAAAAATATATCTTTCAAACCCACTATTTTAAGCTTCATGTCACTTTCGGTTTGTTATCCAAAGTGATAAAAAGCTACATGACAGCTAAGGGGGACTTAAAAGCATGAACAGCAGGAAGGAAGGAAGGAAGGAAGGAAGGAAGGAAGGAAGGAAGGAAGGAAGGAAGGAGGAAGGGAAGGAGGGAGGGAGGGAGGGCAATGTGGATATGATTTAGCAGTGGAAGTTTCATTCATTCATTCATTTCTTCAACAAGTGTTTACTGAATACCTCATATGTGCCTGGCATTGTGCTGGGCGCTGGAAATGAGAGTATAAGCCAAACAAATGTAGCAACCAGTTCCAGAAATAGGAGAGCTCCTGGAACTGATGGAGTTTAAAAGCTAATCGAAGTCAATTGAACTCATTTCTTTCTGAATCCAATTATTTTTGGCTGTGTACCTGATGCCACCAGCAGGGGATTATTCATCTACAATCATTCCTTTGGCCTTATTTTCTCATGGAAGAGACAGACAAGAAGTGACTCTAAGTGCCAGGAAGAGCAGCAAGGCAGGCTGAGGGAAGAGAGTAGCAGAGGGGGCACTTCCAGAGATGGAAGTCCTAAGGTGAGGCCATAGAATGTAGGAGTCGGATGCCCTGGTATCACTGACCCCCAGCCTGACAAACATTGGGGAAGGCCTCTCCGTGCCTCAGCCTTTGGATTCTGGGAAATGGAGATACTGATGACAGTCCCTGGACTTACTCTCAGATGGAAGGAAGCCACACAGGAAAACTGAGCTTTGGATGCTACTGTCTTGGGTACACTGACCGATACACTGA